TTTTTACAAAATATGCAAATGAATTTACAATAATATCTAAATCTAATATTGAATTTGTTTTTGCAATGGACATATGAAACTCAAATTTAGATAAACGTGGAACACAACTTTCTAACATTTCTTGCCAGACGTAACCGTCGAACAATTCACCAGGATATGACCACGTTGCTACTGGAATATCCATGGTAAAATAAAAATGAATAAGATTTGGCATAAGGCGTAAGATAGAAGCAATTGAACGGCTATCACATTTTACAAGAATAGTCAAATCAAAAGAGATCATTTGTGGTAATATAGGAATATCATTATAATTAAAAGGTTTTGATGGAATCGAAGTACTAAAACAATGAATATTATTTTTATTATTTTTATGGAGATTTTTTATCGAGTATATTCACTAGTGGAAAACTTACTTGATAGCATTATTTTCACTTAGAACTTGATGTATTACTATTATTCCCAAATATCGAACTGAATGGCAAAGCCGAAGGATTGATATAATTGAATAAACTGGTAAGATTGGTAATGTATTGGACATACATAATTTAAGTGACATAAGATTCGAAGGTATCGAAGTTAAGTTTAATATATGCATGTTATCATAACTAAATTGAAGTGAAATTGAACGAAGAACTGGTGATTTATGTAATAACATAATTTGAGTTAAATTATGTTTATCTTTTTCAGATATATTGTCATCATTTGGTTGATAAAGACTGAATGAAACAAGTTTATTCAGACTTTTGATTTGTTTAAAAACGTTTTCAAGTATCGTTGTTGGACTAATTGAAATAAATATACATGATTCAAGATTACAAAAATTATGTCGATTAAATAATATACTAATAATAGATGCATAATCACAAATTGTATCAAAAATTTCTAATGAAATAACTTGATCAACATGATTTGTAAGATGAGAAGAAAGAAAATTAATTTGACGACAACAATGATCAGGTAAAATAATAATACGAAGTGGAATCGATTGTAAAATAGAGGAAATTCGTCGATTTAATGAAGTGAATGAAGTAAATATCTCGAGTGCATGAAAATAATCAAATATTTCGAAGAAAATTTCATTTGATAAATCTTCGAACTGAGTATGTGTATTCATATGTACATTGCAAAAACAAATTCAATATTAGATTTAGATATTATTGTAAATTCATTTGCATATTTTGTAAAAAAATATCCTAATTGGAATATAATTATTCAACGATGGAATTTTTTTTTTCGTCGTTCAGGTAAATGAAACCAATTTGCAGGCCTAAAAAAATATAGTCTAGGAAAAGAAAGTACATAACGCACGATAATTTTTTTTTGGACGATCACTTAGGGATAGAGATGAGTTCAAGTGATACCGGAGTGGACGGAAGAAATATTTTCAAAAAGTGAAACTTTTGTAAATTTAGTCTTCGAACAAAAAATGATTTTGCTTGTGTTTAAAGATACATTTGCTTTTCTTTTAGAAGATTTTATCATGTTACGAACAACTGGTTATTGCAAACACCAAGGGAACTTAAATATAGAAATTCCTTTCATTTCTTTTGCATCATTTGATATACATTCAACAACAACCGCAGATCATTATTCACTTTTTTATTCAGATATAAGTGTTTTAAGGATACACTTGACAAAGACTAGACCAATCGTTACTTGGTCGGGTCCTTTATACCAAAAAATCAATCATCTCATCATAGATATGCCAATTAGACGTTCATCATTGTGGAAAAGTTTATTAAATATTTGTAAGAAGCATGTGTATTGCTAACTTTTCAGAATGAAATAATTTCTCTTTTTTAGTTTATTTAAGTGGAACAAATGATGATAATATTGACGCAAAAGAAAGTGCTACTTGTCTTTCACATTTTGTTCACTTATCGAACATAACTCAACTGGAAATTTCATCAAAGAACTATGATTTATCGCGATGGCAAGATATTGAAATCATTCTACAGTGAGTATATTTTAAATAACTAATATATGGGCCAAATCAGGCATAACGAGACAAACCACTTCTCCCGCTTCCTTAAGTTGGCTGTGGTTCTCTACAAGCGTTATTTTTATTAATGAGTTCTTTTAACATAGACTTCTGTAAAAATGTTGGCTCTTTGAGTTGAATAATCATTAAAATTAATTAATTAATTACCAGGTAATTAGACAAAATCTTTTTAACCATATAATGAAAAACTTCAAGATAGACTCGACGGGACGATCCGTACGTATGAAAAATTTTTCAACAAGATCGGACTGAAAATTATTTTTGAAGAACTGATTTTCTAGAGAACCTACCAAGTACTGAAACAATTTTTTTTGATCTTCCTATTATCTAGAGACTGGGCTAGGTTTTGTATCGTTTGAACTTGTGTTCGAACTTCCGAATCTGCTGGAAGAGCATTTCATTTATATGTTCGGACTCCGATACGTCCCGCACGCAAACTAAATCGATTGTTTTTGAAAATCGAGACGTGATTAGAAAAATGTTGCATAGAGTTGTTGTAGCCTCATAAATTGTCGACAGTATGTAGTATTTAGACTTGAAAGAATACTTCCCCAATTCGATGCATTTCAAAACAAATGCAGGGACTGAAAGTTGATGCCCCTTTTGTCACTTTTCTGACGTTAGTTTTTTACTAATAACTATGGAAAACGTTTTCCACCGCTGATTTGTTTAAAGATATCTAGAGTTAGGTAGCATAGACATAGTATGCAAAAAGAAAACTCTAGGAGATCTCATTATCTCGAGATACACATGTTCTATTTTTCAGAAGTCAATTCCGTAGCGAATGAAATGGTCTATATATCATTGTTCAGATTGGTTTTGTTATATCATAGATTGAAATTATCTTTGAGTTTTACATTTATCTGGAGTGTTATTTTTCTGTGTCTCTTTCTAAAGTGACGAGATGTTATCAATAATTCTACCTATAATATTTCTGGATAAGTTTGTCATTGATAACCAGCAATAGTAAATGTGAATAGAATGATTGAATTTTTCTTTTAATTTTAGATCGTGTCCGAATGTAACAAATCTTACAATTAATACTCCGTTATTAATTTCGTCAAAATTTATCGATAATCCATCTCTTTTTTCAATTTTTAAACAAGTTAAAACGATTACATCGATACCTGGAAAGATTTATTTTCCTTCTAAATTTGCGTTAAAAGTCGTTCAACGCTTTCCGTCACTTACTCATATGGAACTTGAAGTTGTTACGTTCGATCATTGTGTATCTGTTATTGAAGTATTTCTATGTCATATGGAACACTTATCTTATTTGAAAATTTCTTACAGTCAAAGTACATTACTTGATAATCCATTTTCTCGTCATTATGTTATTGAAAAACGTCGTCAAATATTTCCTAATAACTTTCTTGATGAACGGATAACGTATGTTAAAAATAATGGAGAAGCAATACAAATTAGATTGTGATAATTTTATATTTTTATAAATATTCTTTTTGTAAGAATAATAAAATACTAAAGAAATAAAAGTATCTCGTGAAAGTAATTTCTATTTGAGTTGATAAATATCATCTCATTCTTGTACGATTTCGAATATTTCAGCAATTATAAAGGAAACTTGTTGGAATTTCAGGCTGTATTTATAGAAAGCTCTTGAAAACAAATGCTTAACGGTTGGGAAAATATCTCATATGTTTGTAAATTACGAAGATAACAATAACAGATTGTCTATAAATAATGAACATAGATCATTCGAACAACATGAATCTTTGTTAATTTAATTCGTTAAGTTTTTAGGCTTAGCGATCTTCTATGAAGGGCGTCTTGGTAGAGGGAGTAGAGGGGTTCAGGCGTTTATGGGCGTCAAGACACTTACTATCTATATTTTCTTTTTTTTTTCAAATAACTCTCCGCCAAATTATGAATCGTAGTGTTTTTTTTGAAGAGCATTTTTTGAATGAATCAGTTTAATATGCATATGGTATTGAAATAATTGAAGATTATACTGCGTGAGCGGCCAGTTCTATATGCACATTGTTAGAGTTTCGAGTGTAATATATATTGAACTTTTGGGATATGTTATATCTGATGAAATTTGAGTTTATTCATGTATATTTTTGTTCCTGCATTTACTAATAAAAAGCAAGAGGCTTATTTGAAGACGGAGGTTCCTGCTAGAAAGGTTTTTCGGCATACTGGACGACGACGCGGAGGGGATGAGGTAAATGAGACAGTGCCGTCTATAACCGTCTCCATAATGGCGTATTTTGTCATCTGAACAGCTATAGTTGTCCTTGGTTCATTTACAAATCCTTATATAGCAGTGAGAATGGCCACGTATGAGCAGATAACAAGAAAGTGAAAATCATTACACAATAGACCAGCGACAAATAATCACAAAGTGGACGTGTGAACACATGGATATAGCAGAGGAAATGGGATACAGAAAGTGAAGCATAACCAGGCGTACTGAATCTATTCGTGTTCGCTCACATGCATGGGAGGAAATTTTTCAAGTTCGGGGAAATTTTTTGAGGAAAAAATCTTTATGGAAAAGGGTTTTTCAATATAGGAAACAACGGAAAATTTTTTGTTTTCTGGAAACTGGGCACGAAGTTCGTGCACGGGTTGTGTGATCTATTTGCCAGTAGAGAATAGTACAGCCTTTTCGTTTGTATTACTATTCAATAAATGTGTCTCTTTCAACATACTTATGTCCGGGTTCAGTTTAGCTAAAACGTTTTCAAGACGAGCAAGTTTCAAGACTATCACAATTCCTCAATGAGTGATGCAACTGAATTGTCTTTTTTCATGTAAAGTTTTCCGAGCACAGCGAGTTTTTTTTACATGGTTTCTTAAAATATATCAATTGTGTCCCATAATAGCTGAAGCTAAATTTTCAATGACACCTTTCATACTTTTCTTGACGTAGAAGTTTGATCATTTTGACCACGTATATATCTAACCAAAATGTTTACTTTTTTAAAAATTTCAGCTCTTTAAAACTGGTGCTGAAATACGTGTACAAGATTCACATACATGAATTTTCGTATTTAATTTTTGTGATATCTTTATTTCTTGACTAATGATATTTATAAACATCTGATGCAATCAAAATTTACAACGAAAACTTTTACCAAAGACGTAAATGATAGCAAAAATTGATGCTCATGAATACGGTCTCGAATGTTTTCCATGACGAATTGTGAAAGATGAGCTGTTGTGTCTATCGCTGTTGCATATTTTTTTTTCGAAAATATCTTTCATTTTGTGCATTTCCTTGTCTAATTGTAATGATGCATGAATACACTTTTCTGCGAACTTTTTCATTTAATATGCCCAACACACTTTTAGTTCTTCAGTCATCAGCAAATTTAGCATCGCTATCTACTCATCCTATACGCTCAATAAATAGTTTTGTTACAAATCGTGCGATAAACACTACATGTTGCTTTAAGACAATTTAAGTTCCATACAAACTACTTACGATCTTCTCTGTTTTTACAACTAGTGAATATTTAGTATATAATTTGTCATTAAATCAAAATGATTTTAGATATAAATGCATTTCCATATCAATAAAATAATCCGTCTCTGATCTGTCACAATTGATTGCGTAGTAAAAGTATTGCAAAAATCTAATATGAAAATTCATGTATGTTGATCTTATCCATGTATTTCAGCACTAGTTTTAGATATAGAGCTGGAACTTTTAAAAAATAAACATTTTGGTTAGATATATAGGTGATAAAAATATCTATATTCTACGTTAAGAAAAAGCATGAAAAGTGCCATTGACAATTCATCCTCAGTTATTATGAAACATCCTTTATATGTTTACAATAAAGAGATTTCTCTTATTTTGATAGCGGAGGGAAATTTTTGAGAGTTTTTTTCTGCGTGAGAGGAAATTTTTCATTTTAGTGGCTGATTCTGCACTTCTGAGTATAACAGTTAAATGTCGTTACAGGGAGAGTAGAAGATTAAAATATCGATTTTTACCGAGGCAACCTTAATGGATAGCTCCTTAACAAATACTGATTTAACAGTTGCTGAACAAGCAGTCGTTCAGATACGTAGTTGTTTGAGGTTAGTCAGATTTAATCGTGCTGTCTATTGCATCGATTAACTTCTTGTTTTAACTCTCTCTATCTTATGTACCATAGAAAAAGATTTCATCGAAAAATCTGCACACTCCTCATGATATGATCCAAGCATATGAAGAAATAAAAAAATACAATAGATATCACTCTGACAAGCTTATTTTATTATATGAGTAGTTTCTGGTAACAGGACTTACTAATCATCATAATGATGCATTCAAGGAGTAGTAGAATATGTTTATTGAAAGAAGCCATTCATAAAGAACACCAAGATAAAAATCGCATTTTAAGAAACCCTCTTCTCCATCCAGGCTTGTCCAGTTTTGGTGACCTCTACTCCTCTCTTCGACGCTCAGTATCAAAAAAAGCTTTCCCAAAGGAATTTGTTTATTCAGATAAACTTGTTCCTTTTTATTAAATAAAATAATCAAAACTAGAAGTGAATAAACTGAAATGTCTTCAGATATAACCTATCCCAAAAGTTTTGTTTTATATTTTAATGACTAGACAATGTTAAAATATTAAAAAACAAACAGTGAGTACAAATGACACTCAAAAATCCAACAATTTTCATATAGAACTAGTCGCTGATGTAGTATAATCTTCAATTATTTCAATCCATATGCATATTCAAGTGATTCATTCAAAAAATGCTCTTCAAAACAAATTAAGCTTGATAGTTTGACGAAAAGTTGTGTGAAAAGAAAGTGAAATATTCATAGTGATTCTCTCAACGTCCAGAAATGGTTGACAATCCTCTCTCAATCCAATCTGTCAATATTGTTCCAATTTCGATATCCATACAGCTGCTTCATGATGACACTGTCTTTTATATATAGCTCCAATGGCGGAATTTTTTACTCTAGAAATAAGCCCTAACATTTTATTCATGTAAGGCACTGGCATCAGGGTTGCCAGATCGAGAATTAAAAAATCGGAGAAATTTTTCTTAGAATCGGAAAAATGCCGGAATTTTCGTTCTCAAAATCGGAAAAAAATCGGAAAGTGTTTTTTAATGCTTAAATAGCTATTTTTTTTCCAATAAAACAACATGCCTTATCTTGTTTTTGTTAATTTTTTCGAGACAATATCTGGAAAGATATTTCATAAACAATTAAAGAAAATGTAAATTTACATAAACAGTTTACTCATGATTAAAAAGCTTGCATAAGCCATTTAAACAAGACCACGTTGTTTTTTCAAAATACTAGAACCAACTTGACGAAAGAATATAATCAAAACTATAAATTTATACATAAACATGCATTTCATAAAATTTGT